AGCGAATTGTCGAGCTGAAGCTATTGAGGAAGAACAGGTGTTTGCTGAAGAAGATGATGACTCATCGTTTGTCCCTTCAAATGTTTTGGCATAGGCAGTTGAGTCCGATTTTTGTGCTCTGTCGTGTGTACATATCAGGATAATGGAATTAGGAAGGTCTCATTACGGGTTGATAGTGCTATCCTTTATCTTATCTCTAATTACCAGTATAAAATCTTACTTCGTACAAAAATAATAAGTTTTATTAGTTTTAGTACTTAATTCTCAGTAACATTTTTCTGGTAAACATTCGTTTTACAGGTTTGTTTCTGTTACTGGTTTTTCTGTGAGAATTGTTTTTAAGAAACTAGGCAATTTCGGACAAGGAAATTTGTAATTCTGATAAGTTCATATGTTAATGTAATGTAACAAAATATTGGTTTTAATAGAGGAAATTGTTTCGAGGCAAAATAGTATTTCTGCCGTAGGTCTGCTTTACTGTAGTAGCCTAGTTTATTTGCTATATTTTGTAAAAACCCGTTGAAGTAAACTGTCTTTTGCTTTATTAATTATTCTCATTTCGTCAAAGTTCAATAATTGTTATATTTTGCTAGATTTTTTTCAATGTAATGGTACATATTATTTTTATTTTTGTTCTTGGACCTCTTGTACTTTTTTCGCTGTTTTGCGAAAGTAGCTCAAGCATGATGACGTTGTTTACTTGTCATTAAGCTTATCTTGTTTTTGGGTATAAGTATTTCTTGAGAGTCTGTTTGCTGTTTTTCATTTGATTAGACTACTATAAGTTTTCTAGATGGCACATTTATTTTTGCCCAGAATTGTCGACATTTCGCTGTCTGTCTGTCTGTCTAAAACCTTTTTCCAGTTTTCGGCTAAATGGTTTGGAAATTACTTGTTCAGACTATTTTGGCTAATATATTTTTTGTCCTATTTTATTACTGTTATTTTACTTTTGGTGTCTGCTGACAGTTTTATAGTCTTTTTTTTTGGTTTTGAAAGAATGTACTGTCTTAGATGAAGTTGATTTAGAGAGACATGCTCTTGCTGACATTTTCTGACTAAAGTGCAACTTTATCTCTTCTTTGGCTGCTTTTTTATTTAATTTTTTATTTTGACAAGAAGTGGAATTAAAGGTTCTGCATACGATCTGATTGCACATGGGTAATAATAAAGGAGCCTCATTTGCTCTTTTTTTTGTGTGTGTGTTTATG